CACGGCAGCTGTGGAGTCTTGTGTGCAAAATTTCTACTTTGTGAGCTTCTCACAAGACAAGAACACGTGGGCACTCGATGAAATGGCTGAGCAGATGGGTTAGAATGGATAAAAGGAAGTCCTTCTTCACCCAAAGAGTGATGAACACATGGAATTCACTGCCACAGGAGGTGGCGGCGGCTACAAGCATGGACGGCCAAAATATTTCAACCTTCATGGCCCATCAGCACTCCGGAGGCCGATGAGGAGCTGTGGTGGGCAAGAGTCCCGCTTTCTGAAAACAGTTGGAGAGTGCCAGGAAAGGGGCTGGTGGGCATCATGTTGGGGACCCCTGGTTTAGAGGGACTTGCTGCCACAGGAACAGGCACAGGAGCGGCTTAACGCTGTGCACAACAGAGCCAGTTTGGCGTAGTGGTTAAGAGCACGGACTCTAATCTGGAAGAACTGGGTTCGATCCACCACTCCTCCACTTGCTGGTGTGACCTTGGGTCAGTCACAAGTTCTCTCAGAGCTGTTCTCGAGAGAGAGCTCTCTCAGCCCCACCTACCTCACAAGGTATCAGTTGTGGGGAGGGGAAGGGAAAGGAGATTGGAAGCGGCTCTGAGACTCCTTCAGGTAGTGAAGGACGGGGCATGGATCCAATCTCTTCTTCTCCTCCTTCTTCTGTAAGGACTGACTTCATGGTGGAGAGCCAAGGACGCCCCACCTCTAAAACGGATCTCTCCGGAGAACTCTCTGGATGAAAACAGAGGATGGGAAAGAGACAGAGCTGTCCCTGGAATGGACGGGCTCGGCCGGGGGTCTCCAGCCGCCGATCCGTGCACAACGTGGCAAAGTTTCATCAGAACGGCCTTCCCTTACGAACGGTATGGGCAATGCGCATCAAGAGAGACCAAAGCTCCCAAGCGTCATCAAGCGCTGTGTATTATAATTAAATATACCCTGACCCAGATGGCCCAGGCTAGCCTGATCTCAGAAGCTAAGCAGGGTCGGCCCCAGTTAGTCCTTGGATGGGGGACCACCGAAGAAGCCCAGGGCTGTTACGCAGAGGCAGGCAACTGGCAAACCACCTCGGTCTGCTTCTGGCTCTGACCTGTACGGCTCAGGCTGGCCTGGTCTCATCGCATCTCGGAAGCTAAGCAGGGCCGGTGCTGGTCGGTACTTGGATGGGAGACCTCCGAGGAAGTCCAAGGCCGCTACGCAGAGGCAGACGAGGGCGAACCACCTCTATTCATCTCTTCCTGGGAAACCCTACAACAGAGGCATCGAACTCACTTGTTACGAGGGCCGGATCTGACATAAACGACACTTTGTCGGGCCGGGCCCTGTGTGCCACAAAAGGTAATGCCAGGTACCGGAGATAGAAACCGTACAAAGGACGGCAGCTGGTAAGCTACGAGTTGGTGTATCCCTCACTGCAGGGGCCCCTGGGCTGGGAGGGGGGCGCAGCGGAAAACCCACATTGGCGAACCGGAGAGGCAGCGGCCCAGCGCTGGGCAGATGCTCCCACGATGCTGGACTGCTGTAGATGAGGCTGTTCTGTGCTGAAGCCACTTCCTCCCTTGCAACCGTTGCTCGCAGGCTGCATAGCAGCACTGGATGGGCCAGATCTGGCCCTCGGGCCTTATGTTTGACACCCCTGCCCTATGGGGGCGCCCCAAAACAGCTAAGACTTGAAGGCGCGAAAAGAAAATTAAACACACGCAAACACTCCTTTCGATCAAGTGATGCTTTGATTTTTTTATTTACTTAAATGCAGCATTCTATACAAGGAAACGATTTCAAACCCCGACAGGGAACTATAGCTCTTCCTAAATCAACCAGAATTAAAAGATTTCTCCCCAAATATGGAAAATAATCTCTTCCCTCCCCCCCCCCCGTACGGTTATTTCTGCTTTAATTTTGCGTATCTCAAACTTCAGAACTGTACAATTTGTTTACAAATCACACTTTGTCCTATGAAAAGTTACAGAAAAAAATATTGCCACGTTCTTATTTGTAACAAAAAAATTAGATTTCTTTTTTTTTATTTAAAAAAAACACAAACATCAGCCAGAACTTCTTCTTTTTTAATTTTTTAAAGGGTGTGCTGGGGGGGGGAGGAGCAATGATGTGTTAAGATTGCATTTGGCGCTTCCGAAAACAAAGCAGAGCTGATCGTGAGAGAAAATGGCAAACCACCTCGTTCCGGAGCAAATGGGAATTTCTGCTGCCTGACGTGTTAAGATTGCATTTGGTGCTTCCAAAAACAAAGCAGAGCCAATCATGAGAGATGAGCCCAAGCGATGCAAAAAAACCCAAAAACCCCACCCCAGATGAAAACTTCAAGGCAGCCTGAATCGGAGAAGGGGCCGGATCACACAAACAGCGTTTGAAAACGAGAAAAGCGAGGCGTCCGTCGACATTTCCCGTTTTCGGAACGGCTGGGAGGACTCTGAACCAGCTGGTGACCCACGCCCACCCGGGGTCTGTTTTACTGCAGCGGGATTGGCTGTCTGAACTGCGAAGAGGAAGAGGGAGGAAGGTTCCCTCTCCGTCCTCTTGGGAAAAGCAGGGCCGCCCCACGTGCAGCAAGCGTCTTACCTGAGGCGGTGGCGACTGACGCCCACCAAACAGTGCTAGAGCAGGCTCCCGGGTCTGTTTCCCCTTCCACGTCCCTCTGCTAACGGGCTACGCCTCGGGCTGATTTCTGCCAGTGGCTGACAACGTGCGGATGCCAACCAAGGGAACGGGAAAAGCCGCAGGTTCATGCCCTTGCCCGAGGGAGGGCCCACTGAGCGCCCTGTCGCCCCCTGGGGTTGCGGCGGACCTGGCGTTTCTCTTGGGTGCTGAAACACCCACCCCCCCGCCTTGCCCCCTGTTAGCTGGGCTCTTGGGGACAGAACCCCCCGCTACCTGGGCTCATCTCGACAAGAAGCTAAATCTAAAAACGAAAAGGCAGCAAAAGGGGCAATAAAAAGGGACTGAGATGCCCCTGAACTGCCTCCCCCCCCCGTAAGAAAAACACCCCCATTGTGGCGAGCGGAACGACATACCTGGGGTTTTTTTTCCCCACTTTCCTGCCCTGCCCATCTAGAAGCAGCCTTCTGAATGGGCTGAGTATAAGAAGGTGCAGAGAACTAAGGGGACAAGGGGAAGAAAAGTCCGGGACTGAGAAAAAAAACAGAGAGACTTAAAATCTGACTTACCGTACTGAGCGTTTGGGTGCCAAAACACTGGGATATGGAGAACTGCGGGGGGGGGGGGCGGTTTAGAGAGGGAAGTGGGGATTTTTAAGCGATTAAAATTTAGGTCTCGAACCTCCAACCTAGGCGAATGGACGCTTCAGAAATGAATGGACGTTTCAGAGAAGTTACAACCTGGTAGTGAACGGAGACTGCTCTGTTAAGCCCTCGGAAGATGAGAAGCAAAAGGGTTTAAATGTTCGTGACCCCGGGGCCGGGTGGCAGGCCCACCTATCCGCAGGGCGAGGGGGCTTTAGACACGGGGGGTCATGGACGAAGGCAGGAAGGACCAGCAAGCTCGCCCTCCAAGACCAGATCTTGCACGGGCACTGACCCGACTCATCGCTGCCTGCATCCATCCCGGCCCGTCTTCCCGAGTCTGCTGCACAGACTAGTACAAGCCCACGAAAAGGCAGAGGACTCCCAGAAAAAGCAGAGATCCCAAGCACTGCTCGGGAGAAGCCGGGCCACGTTTCAGGAGTGGATCTGGCCCCCGGCAGACGGGGCTCCCGCCGGACGCCGACCCCCAAAGAGCTGCAATCCCCCCAGGCCGCTCTGCTTCGAAAGACGTCCGAGACTCGTGGGTCAGAAGGTATAATGAGATCAGTGAAGGCCTGAGGGGGCAAAACCCCCAGAAAAAAACCAGACAGACATTTAATAATAATAATAATAAAAAAACAGACCAAGAAGAAAGTTCTGGGTGCAATCCACGAGGAACGTCTCCGGCACAAGCCTCGCGGGAACCAAGGCGAGTTCTGTTGAACTCGTCCCCTTTGCGACGACTGGGCCAGTGAAGGAGCCGTGCCCAGCGGCTCGGGCCCCGTGCTGTTAGTGTGAAGGGTTCCGCAAGAGCCCGGGTTCCCCGCCCCCCCCCCCCCACGGCCCTTCGCTCCTTGCTC